CATCAGTATTTTTTTAAGCCTTTTGTTAATAATTTTATTTTGTGCATATTTTATATTCTATTCAAACACTCTATAATAATTTTTCTTTCTTTCAATTTCATTATCATGACAATATTTAAGATCAATCATCCTATCAGCATTTTTTTAGACTTTTTATTGTCAATTTTATTTTATATACAATTCTTTAAAGCCAAACATTCAACTACTTTATAGCTTTTAATTAATTTCTTATTATTGTTTTTATTAGAGCCCAAATATTGTTCAAACACTTTAAAATTATTATTTTTAATTTTAGACATATTTTTATAGCAAGACTTTATTTGATATTGTGCTTTTGAATTATCTTTTTTTTTGATAGTAAATATCATTCAAATAACTTGTATATAATTTTGCTAAATTTATGATAATAGTTACAGATATTATACTTACTTTTTTTTATATTTTATATACAATAATTACTCTCATAATCTTTATCTATATTAATTATTTCTGCAGATTCCTTATAATAATCAAATGTCTTCCTTTTATTGCTTTCATAGAGCAAGACTTACAATGCAGATAGGTTCAGCTTAATGATTCTTCTTGTAGTTTATAATCTTTTGTCTAGATTCTATTTTAATTTTTATTTTATTTTAGTAACTATAATCAAGATCATTTATTATAATAGAATAATCTATCCTTATAGCTTTTTAATAACTAATAGGTGCTTTAAGTTTATACTTTTCAATACTGATTTTATTACTATATTCATTATAGCTTGTCTAGAGTATAATATTCACATTATTTTTAATAGCATTATTGATATTACTTAGTTTTGTATCTTTTAATAATAACTATATACCTTATGTCTATCTATTTTAATTCTAATTCTAACTATATCATTGTTTTCAAAATCACTAAAGCTTGCTTTTTGAAGTTGACCAGTTAGATTCTTTTGATAGTTCTTTCATTTTTTTTATTTGCTTTACAGGAACCATTTCTTTATAACTTGAAGAATGTATTGTATTAGACATTTGCAGAGGAGTGGTTATTACTGAGAAATTTACAAAGTAAGTCATTCAGAGCATTTATAAAGGAGTTACAGTGTCTAATATAGTTTGATAAGCCAAACTAGACCTGTATACAAGCATTATTTTATACCTTTTAGCTTATTACTAGCTTTATAAAAGTAAATTAATATAAATAATCTAATTGTTATTATTAATTTAGAACAAAACCTTTTACAAATATTTAAATTTTGTTCTCTAAATACAAGTTCTCTGTGATTGCTACATGTTTAAACAAGACTATTATATTAATAGTATACTGTTTTACCGTCTCACCAAATTGTTATTATCTGGCTAATAATTCTATATTAATTTGTTCATTAGAGCTGGTATATAAATGGTATACTAAATTAATGTATGAAGCTTTAATCTTGTATCATCTTATCATCCTAATGCTATATACTGCTTTTCTAAATTTTTCACCATGTTGCAGTAGGACCAAATAAGTAAGCATCTACAATTACAAACTATCTTATTCATTAAATATTATTTGCTTCAAAGACTTGTATAATTGATTCTAACTATTTCATATAGTTTTGATTTCCTCTATTAAATATTAGAATTTTGATATAATCTATTTTATCAAGCACTACTTTAGGTTATTTGAATAGTGCTAATATATTTATTATAGTTTGGAGTAATTATTAAAGTTGATAGTCCAAATTATTAAATTGACCAAAGTTCTTTCCAAAAGAATTTTTGTAACCTTCTGTTATAATATCATTCATTTTATACAAAGAATTGTTTCAATTATTTCATATTTTATATTGTATATTGTATTTTCCTAATATATTATCTCTTTATCATTTATCAATACTTGATAAGTTAGTTTGTTTATTTAATTGATTCATTTACTTATTTGTTTAAGATGTTCTATAGAATAGGTGGGCAAACTCTGCCAACTCCGCAACTCCGATATTAAAAAATTAATGATTACTAATCATTAGTGAAGCTTATTTCTTATATTACCCACCTGTTCTATATAACATTCTTTGTTTACTTTCTTTATCTTTATTGTTCGCTTATAGTTTGTAGCAGCATTTGTATATTATTATCATTATTAACTAATGCTTATTCCAGATTATTGTCATATATCCACTCTTTAATTTGTTTGTTTGTTTAATTGATAATCTGCATATAAACTGAAGAATAGATAAAATATAACGTCTTCCATCTAAAACTTTTTTTTTCTTACTAAGTTAATGATATATGCATACTAATTGAAAGTTGTAGAGCTCATCGAGATGCATCTAATGGTGGTTAGATCATCCAAATCGGCCTAGTAGATGACAAGATATCGTCAAAATATGATTGGCTGACTATATAAAAATCTGTGACAGAAATTACATATGAAAATCACCATTGGCGAAATGTGGTGCCCTACTAAGTTAACAATACATGCCTATTAATTGAAAGTTGTAGAGTTCATTGAGATGCATCTAACAGTAGTTAGATCATCTAAATCAGCCTAGTAGATGATGAGATATTGTCAAAAAATGATTAGTCAACTATATAAAATAAATCTATGTAAACAATATTTGTTTACTATATAAAATCTCTATGTAAACAATATTTGTTTATATAGAGATTTTATATAGTTAGCCAATCATTTTTTGATAATATCTCAACATCCACTGAGCTGATTTAGATGATCTAACCACCATTAGATGCATCTCAACAAGTTCTACAACTTTCAATTAATGGGCATATATTGTTAACTTAGTAAGAAAAAAGTTTTAGATGGAAGCACGCCACATTTCACAGATGGTGATTTTCATATGTAATTTCCGTCACAGATTTTTATATAGTTGACCAATCGTATTTCAATGATATCTCGCCATCTACTAGACCGATTTGAATAATCTAACTACTGTTAGATGCGTCTTGACGAGCTCTACAACTTTCAATTAGTACACATATATCATTAACTTAGTAAGAAATAAAGTTTTAGATGGCAGACGTTTTATTTCGCCTATTCTCCAGTTTATAGGCAGATTATCAATTAAATTTTCTTTAATTTAACACAGCACTAATTTGAGGTACATTCCTTATTTCTTTTTCTTAATACAAGCTAATTCACTTTTGTTTACTTCACTTATTATTAAAATTTAATTACACAACGATCTTTATTGACTATTTTCTTGTTATTTTATCCACACAATTGACAACATAAATGTGACAACCAGTGTGAGAGTCTTTCTTATATCAGCACCAATTTAACTCAGAGTTGTCAATATTAAAAGAAAAAAGCAAGTATTTATTGTTCTTTTCCAGGTATCCAAAGTACTAAACAAATATCTTTTATTGTGTATCAGACACTAACAGAACAAAAAACTTGATCTAACTAACCAACTTGTAAGTTTCAAACTCACTAAGCTAAAGCCCTTTCCTAAGTGACCTTCTAAAAATCAACTAAAAACTATCTCTTTAGAACTAAATGCAAAGCTTTTTATATATATTCACAAATAGACTCTAATTGACTATCCTGCATGATGCAAAGTATAAACTAACACTGTAGAATATCATAATGATCAGTAAAGTATGATATCGTAATTGTATCGATCATTACTTAACTATAAATTAAACTATTAATATGTTACATGTCAAAGTAAATATGTTACACAAGCAAAAGTTTAATTTTGAAACTTGGTTGTGTAACAGCACCCATCTTCGCTTGTAATATTATAATAAATTTATTTGTCATACATGGTGCATTGTACAGTAATCGGTGGATTTATTTTGAAATTTCATGTCATGTAAATAGTAAGTATAAAAAAAACACGCACGTACGTACGCACATACTTTTCGATATACAAAAAGTCATGGCAAGCACACCAAAAGAATGGCTTGAAAGATCTATTTCTGAGGGGCTTATTAATAATATTGAATATAATAAACTTACAAACCCTACAATAGTTGACGTCAGAGGTTTTGGGCAAATTTTTAAATACGAGTGAAAAGATTGTGAGAAAAAGGTTGCTCTTAAGTGTCTTAAAAATGATACAAATATAAATGATGAAATTATTAAAGATTTTATTAATGAGGTATTTATTATATTAAATTTGAGTTGCTTCCTGATATAGTATTATATTTTTAACAATAATCTGAAATAAAGCTTAAACTATTAAGAAGAGTTGATTGTCATCCAAATATTATTAAATTCTATAGAGTTACGAAAGATATGTACATATGTTTAATATTACTAAGTGTAAAATAATTTTCTAATTATTGTATTAATTACGAATAGATAATAATGGATATTATAATATGGTTTTACAATATGCTAACGATAGAAATTTACAAGAATATTTGAAAACAAATTTCGCAAGATTACTATGGGTAGATAAATTACAGATTGCTGAGAAAATAATCCATAGTCTTTTGTTTTTGCATGAGAATAATATTATTTATAGAAACCTTGTAAGTATATTATTTTTATACATTTTGAGTTTTATTTACTGCAACTAGTTTCTAACATATTTCATAACATTCGAAAAATATCTAAATTCACAAAAAACAACCAAAGATTGCAGATTTTGGACTATCAAAACGGATAGATGGATGAAGCATCTATTACTTCAAACTCAGTTGTTTGTGGAATGCCGACATACATCGAACCTCAATGCTTTTTTATACAAGAATATAAATGTGACAAGAGGTCAGATGTCTATAGTGTTGGAGTAATATTTTGGAAATTACGAGTGGAAAGCCACTATTTGAGAACTTGACGGACGGAATGACTTACTATAATATTATCCACAGAAATAGAAAAGCACCTATAGAAGGTACACCACCTCAATATATTGAACTTTACAAACAATGTTGGGACAGCAATCCTGCCAATCGGCCAGAAACAGAAGAAGTTCTCAATACTTTGAAACAATTTAGTCCAAACGAAGCTTTGAACAAACCTCAAACACATTTTCAATTTCATATTATGAACCGATAAAAACTATGGCATTACCATTATATGAACCCTATTCTTTTTTCAACTTTTCAGATGACTCAAATGAATCTAAGCTTATAATTTCTCAAAGCCCGGACAATATATCATTGACGACAATACCATCTGATTCTATTTCTATTATCAGCTCCAATTCAGTAGATTCGAA